ACACACACACACACACACACACACACACACACACACACACACACACAGATAGCTGAATGTGTGTTACACTCGAGATGTATTCATCAAGAGAGCATGTTAGCAGCCAGGAGATACAGTGAAGGATGTATAAGTTTTGATCACTAATCCAATTGAAATGCACTTGATCAATACCACTGCAGTGTGTGTGTGTGTGTGTGTGTGTGTGCGCGTGCGTGTGGGATTTCGGGCTCGCACACAGGCCTTACCCATAGCTCGTCGGACACGGCGAAATCATCGATCATCATCATCAGCGCTTCGTCGTCCTACAGACAAGCGGCCACAGGAGAGAAGGGAGGGACATTGTTTGCTGAAAGGGCTCGGTTGTCCCGGGGATAATGTCAAGGCCAAATCACACGACCGACTCCCTAAAATTCTTTTGACACACCACTTGGTCTGTAAGAAGTGTTCATTTTAAGGCCCTCTGAACCCAAAAACCCGCCGGCGGGATTGAAAAGCACGTTTTCTTTAAACAATGACCAACACAGTTTATCACAGCCAGAAGCTGTAAAAAAACATCATTATCGTCCGATTTTCATCTTTCCGACAGTAGTTGAACACATCATGTGACGCTTGCTTCCATAAAAAATAAAATGTGATATTTCATCAAAAACATTGTATTCTACACGTCTCATTTAAAATCTGGCCCCAAATAAACCATTTGCTTTAACAACATTCTGTAAAGAAGACTAAATTGTGTGCCTCTCAGCGCAACTAGGAAGCCTTGTTTGATTTGTCTGAGACCAACAATCAAGTGACAAAAATTCTGTGAAATTTAAACTCAACTGTCAGCTTGTGAACACGGAGCAGAGGGGAGAGGTTGTGAGGAGAAGTAAAAACGTAAATAGTTCAACATAGACAGCACACAGAGCCTCCATGTTTTTTTTCCAACATTGGTAACATTTGTGGACACTTGGAGAAATGATGGATTGATAGATTCCAGTGTTTTCAAATTTTTGTAAAATAGGTTATCAAAGAAATTCAACTTGGGTTTTTGTATTTTATGATTTATGGCATTTTAACTGTGTTACACTGCATTTAAGATACTTTTGAATTCCCTCTACTTTTAGCCATGACTGTGCTGTTTCCATAGAGGAAATGGACTGAATTGTGTGCACTCGTCGTGATGAAAGGGAGGATGAAAACATAAATTATCCTCCCCCTTGACCTCTACTTAGAGATCACTTGAACGTGACTAAAATTTTTTTTTTTTTGTTCAGAAAATATCAGCTCAGTCACAGCGGTGTCAGAGCATGGAAAGCAAAACTTTTCCTGACCTTGAACAGGCTGAAAACCTAAAATCTGAATATGTGCAGCGAAGCTGAACAAACCCTGATAAGCAGCTGGAAAGAGAAACAGAGACAGTTTGAATGCGTCTAAACAGAGGGGTGCGTGTGGCGTCCCGCCCTCACCCTCCCTTTAAAAACAGACAAGCGGATGCCAACACAGACACGCACTCAACATGCAGAGGATGAAATGAGGTTTATTTCATTTTTCTTTCTTTAAAAAAGAAAAAAAAAAAAAGGTAGAAGGACATGCAAACAGAGACAAAGAGAAGAATGAAAGGCTGTAACATGCAGCTCAGCAGAAGGAAAGGTTGAAATACAGAGTCATTACTGTCAGTAACTTTTTAAAGTCTACACAAAGTAATGAATTTTGAGTAAAAATATCTCAGTGTGTAATTTGGGCAAAATTAGGCTTTCAAATTCCTCTTAATGTACTGTGATAGAACAACTGTAACAAATATAAAAGATAATCTAGAGACAAATGGAACTGCTCTGTAGGGAGGTCTATGGCTGCAAATAAAATGAAATTATTTTAAACACTTAAATTTCATTATCCTCATGTACAAATAATTTATGACGAAAGTCACATTTTAAAATCCAATTTTGTTAAAACATAACTATTAACATGGTCATTTAAATGAAATGCCAGTGACAGATGTTTTAGTGTATTTAAATGAAATGACTAATGGACATTCTCAAATACACAGACAATATGCAACCTCAGCTAAATAAAGACTGTCCTCGCTTTATATCCGGTAGCTGCAAAAAGCTGCTCAGATAACTGTTCATAAGTACAGTATGTATTAATATTTATAAAGCAGCAAAAGAGCTTAGTAAGGGTTTAACAATGATATGAGTTTCTGATAATAGTTTATAAAAGCATTATCAACACATTTTTTATATTTAGTTAATATACCAATTATAAGGCTGATATTAACATTCTTAAGCAGTCTACAACTGTGTACAAGTTGCTTATAAATGTCTAACAGCACACGTGTTTATGTTGCCATTGTTAACATTAATAGTCTTATAAACACAAAATGTTAATGAGCATTTTATAAGGACTCATGTCCTTAATACCTATTAACTAAACGTTAATTATAGGGACCTTAATATAAAGCATTTCCTATTATTCTTATTTATTCGTCATGCATCGTCATGAAAAAATGCATTTCAATTGAATTAGATGATTTCGGTATAATATTGGCAGCCATACACTTCCGGCATGCACCATGAAATAATGTCCATCTGTTCTACTGCCATGATGGAAACACATGCAGATACATGCTGACTCTTGATACAGTCCAAGCACACAAAAAACATGCAACATCCGTGAGTGAGACAGAACAGAGGAGAGAGACAAAGCGATGAAAGGACACAGACATGGACAATACACAACCTCTCTGTTTGGAGATATCAAAAACTATTATCACGTTTCTACTCCGACTGTTGGATGCTGACTTTCCCATGATTCTAGAGTTACATGTCGGCAGAAGACGATCAAACACACCTAGACTCTGACTTCGGAGGCCGATACAGCTAATGCAACCCCGTGAGTCAAATCAAAGTCACCTGGAAGTGTTCATGTGTTGTGATTGGAATCTGAACCACAGTTTGGATGTAGCGCTTAGCTCAAACAGGACACCGCACACCCTTTTAAACAAGGGTGGATGGGGCACCGTGGAAAAACGTGACGCGACAGACATGAGCAGATGCCGCCCGCCTGAGTGTGCAGGTTCAGGTGGTTACCTTCTTCTTGAAGCTCTGCTCCGCCTCCCAGAGCCGAGCGTGCTGTTCGCCAGCAGCCACCTGCAGCGCATCCTCCTTCCTGTTGATCCTGCTCCTCCAGTCGTCCTCGCCGCTCTTCTTCAACAACGCCACTCTGAGACGGGAGAAAGCAGGAGGGGAAAAGTTACAATACGGTTCATACCGGGGAGAAGACGCGGGCGGCTTAAATGTAAAATGTATAAAAAACTATTGATTTAAAGTAGATTATACTTTATTTATGGTTAAGAGATGTCATACAGCACTTACATTTGGTATTTATTTAATCCCTATTATTGTTTTTTGTGTGTGTGTGCGTTTGTTTCATTTTTGTGCTTTACACTCTTTTGTGGATGTTTCAAAAATGTTATTTGCATTAAACATCTGTCTGTTAAAAAATACGTGGAGTAATCAATCCATACCATCATCGCACACAGATACTGAAGTGTGGAGCTAATATAAGAGCACATGATATGAAGACAGACTACACACACTGCACACAGCAACTGCAAGGTCAGCACTTGTTGAAAACTACATTTTGTTACTGTCCCAACAGAAAACAGGCACACTGCCCTTTAGTCTCATCTACGGGACGGTCTGCAGTGAAGACAGCAGAGGCTAAGCAGAGACACACAGCATGCCAGTTAACAGCCACTGTGAGAAATACTGTTCAGTTCTGGATCAACAGACTGCCGACAGATAAAGTAGAATAGGACACAAAGATCACTTGGAGATGTCGGTGAGTTTAACAGGAGCTTTTCTCAGAGCAAATGGTGGGATTTATTTTGGTGAAAGTAAATATAGGCTCTATCTATGTCAAGTGCTCACTTAAAATTTGAACATGTATTCTTCTGAATGAGTTGTAAAAAAAACTGGGACTCCGTATAAAGCACATGGAACACAAAGTGAGGTATAGTGAGAGAAGAACAGAGGTTCAATTATGGAGCTTTCCTCTCTGAGTGGGGAGCAGACTGGAGCCATAATGGAGGGGTCAGGGTGTTGGGCTCTAACAACTAGCCCTCTGTGACCCAGCACGGGGGACGTCCTGTTCTGCCCAGAGGGGCTCCACGACAACGCCACAAACAGGATGAAAGTCAACTCTGACTAGCTGTCGCCAGCTGCATCTGGGATACGGGTCCTGCCTTCAGTAAAAAATCCTTTTGAAAAGGGGAGAGACTCAAAGACGACGCGACGCGGTGAGAGGGAGAGAGAGTGAGCCGGCGGACCAGAACACGCTGGGACACCAGTTCGCTTCCATTATGTCATCAATCAATTCAGAGCGTGGCCGCTTTCCGGCGTGTTTACCGGTCAAACCGTCAGCTAACACAACGTGACATAACTAGACTTACGTCATCATTTCAGTTGTGAGGAATCCGATACTGAGCTTCAGATCAAATGTACATGACGAGTATTTCAAATCATACAAAAGGACGGACGACGTGAAAGCACAGTGAGTGCTTGAGTAGCAATATGCCAAAAATAAAGAAAAGATATATACTTTCAGAAAATAGTGTCAAATTGTTCCTCCTGTTTGAGTAATGCTGATAAAAACTACAATGTCCATTAAGGTCAGAAACAGAATAAAAAAAATATGGAATTGACCATCGCTCATCTGTCAACATGACAATAAGAAGCCTGATTTGTGATTTGTTACAAATGTTACATCATTGTTATGAAGTGAGCAGCTTGCCAGGATTGCCAGCAAACTCCATATTGACGATATCTCCTTATCTTATTAAATTAGAGCGTTACGTTTAGTGGCATTGAAGAGCTTCAGCATGAATGTCCATTCTATCACTTCCATATCCAATGTGGTGGTGGTGGTGTTGTTCTAGCAACGGCTTGGCCTTGTCTTCACGATCTCATTTTCTGTCTCCATCTAACCCACATTTAAAACAAAAAAAAAAGAAAGCAATCTTCTCTTTTCATCATACCCTTGCTCGCCTTATTTACTGACCAACTGATCCAAAAGGGATTATATTTTAGGCTAAGATCACGTAAATTGCTTGAATGAAAAGTTTAACAGTACCTGCACTTGGTCAAACAGTAGTAAAGCAAGATTATGGAATGACCACACGGGCGGGCTCACCTCTCTCTGATGGACATCTGTCTGGCCATCATCATGGCGCTCAGCTCCTCTCCCTCCTCAGGCTGAAGCGGGCCGTCCGTGTGTGCGTCTGCCGCTGGAGGCTGACCACCGCTGCCGGGAGAACCGGATCCTAGCCTAGATGTCACCACCGTGTACTCTGGCAGCTCTGTGAGCACAAGCAGACAAGCACACACACACAATGGAGAGAGCAAAATCAATAACTTGACAGCAAATACATAAATGTTCACATGGCGGATTTGATTTTAAATGGCATTATTTTTTTGCTTAAGAAGGACCTATGTGAGGCAAATAAGGTGTGAAACAGGATTTAAAATACAGTCATCCATGTATCAAACTCTATACTCCTGAGAGACAGATCATTCTTACATCGTTATTCTCATTTTCATTGAAAAATATTTTTAAAAAATGCTTATGGTGTGATTATTGTGGGGCTCTGTAGATATGATGTGTAGGTCAGGATGTTTCTGCAGCACCATTTCATTTAAAATGGCAAAATAATAATGAAATATTGCTCATACTGCCATTTGAAAATTGCAGTAGGCCATGTTAAAATGCCTCGATAAAAATGTGAATATTTGTGCAGCCCTATCTAGTACAAAGCAGTGTGAGAGCAAGTCTTCTCAGCTTTAAACCTCCCTGCCAGCGCTGTAATCAAATAACCCACGCTGAGTCCTGTGCTCTGTCTAACGTGCACACTGATGCAGACACAGGCGACGAGTTGCTGCTCGGACATAGAGGAAGCCTGGATACCGCAATCTGAATGAAACCCATTTGCAGTCCCAGGAAGTGCAACTGAACGAGAAACCGAAGTTTATTTCGTCTCAGTTTGCACCATGTTCATTTTTACGTGTTAGCATGCTAAGATTTAGCATACAGTCTAAAATTGTCAGTTGCATTCATTTTAATCAGAGAGTCGCCTCTTTAACCCACTTCATTCACCTATTCAGCATCACTTTGTTTTCCTTTTTATTTTTCTATTGAAGAACACTAATAACCAAAAGCCACTTATTAAAACCAGAAAATGATTTACTACCTACTATATTTGGCCAGTGTTTTCTTCAGCATCAAAGTCAGTGAATATGGTTTTAAATACTTTGCAAAGCCGGATATAGAATAAGCTGTGGAGAAGCTCAATATAAATAATTAATAATGTAATTTATTTCATTCACAAAGACACATTCAAAGTTCACATAAGTAAACAAGAGAGAAAAAACGTGAAATGTTAAACAAAGAAGTGGTCCTGCTGCTCTTACCTCCACTGATGGCCCGGCTCCTCTGGCTGTCTGCGTAGTGTGCGTGCGCCTCCTGCCTTTCCTGGAGCATGTGACTCTCTGAGCTCTGCACGGCTCTGTCTCCCCGCCCTCTTGCCAGCCACTCCTCCTCCTCCTCCCCCTCCCCCTCCTCCCCTTCCTCCATCTCCTCCTCCTCCCCCCCCCTCCTCCTCCTCCTCTCTCTTCCAGTCTGGGGCTGGCACAGAGCAGCCTGCTTGACCGCCTTCTCCGGAGAGGGCAGCTTCCTCTTCCCTCCTCCCAGATCAGCTCCGTTCTCTCCCCACGGCAACATTTGGCACCTATGCTGGTCCGCCGAGTCCCGGGACCTCCGAGAGAGGCCCTCAGAGCTGGGGGGGAGGGGCTCAACCCGGGGCCCCGCTGCCGGCGCCGGTGTTCGGGTTATGTGGATGTCCCCGGCGTGGTCCGTGGAGACGGTGCCTCCTCTCATATGGGAGGACGACGAGGGCGAGGCGGGGAGGTGTCCGAACCGAGAGCCTGGACCATTTTGAAGCTGTGCGACGGGGAGGAAGAAAGAGTTAGAGAGAAAGAAGTGTTTGTATACGAGGCTTAGAAACAGGTCGGGAAAACTGCACACACACAAAAATCAAGAGAATCACGCTGACGAATCACCGCCTGTCTGACTCTCGGCACTTCCTGAGCATCAAAGGGCAATTTGCAGCCTGCATCACAAAGCCATGCCAGCCGGAGCCAGAAGACACACTTTCCAAATTCAGAAGTTAGTGAACTAACCTGACATTTCTGCTGAGTAATGAATGACAAGCAGCAGTAAACATCCATGGAAACCTCGGACAAAAACCTTGCAAAAGAGAGTCCTTTAAACTTCTTAATTTTTTTTCTTAATCAATTTCCTCCAGCTTGGATCAGGGCAGATGAAAGATAGCGGCCCATGCGATGGTGAGCGAGAGTCAAAGTGCTCTCCTTCTCCTCTCTTCCACCACGGAGGCATCTTTAACAAGCCCTCGAGCATCGCTGAGTCACAACTCACTCAGAAGCCGGGCAGCGCACTGCACGTTCACAGTGACATCACACAACGCGGATACGGGACACGCCACACGGGTGACATGCGCGGCCATTTCTGAGAAGCCGAGTCAGCCTCGATGTGGTGACGGTTCAGAGGGAGCTTACTTGTAGAGGCTCTACGGGGCTGTTGCACAGCTCCTGTTCTCCCCCCACGACTATGTCTGAAGGCTCCTGGAGCGGAAACACGCACATGCTGAAGGGTTCATGTGTTGTACAGATACAGATAAAGCCCTCTAAGAAAATATGTGATTTTGAGCTAAATAAATGAAATTCATGCACTATTTATTAACCAGAAACCTTGGGAAGTATGGTCACTCACTTTATTGCTAACTAAATAAAATACTTTGTTAAATACAAAACAATGCTGAAATGTAAAAACGACAGTTTGTGGTTTTACGGGAGTTACGAGGAATTATTTCTCTTGGGTTGCAGCTGCGTCCTCAAGTCTCCGCTGGTTGCCTGACATTCTCACACTGACTACAAGACTTCAGACAGTTTGTGTACGGATTAAACAAATGTCAAGCTATTCCTTTAAAACATATTTTTAAGTGTGTACAACATAAAAATGACACTTTACAGCCAACAAAAATATGGTCACGTGTTGAAAGAACACCTCTGTTTTCTAAAACCTTACAATCTAAGGAAACATGAAAATGTTCTCATTAGAATAAAAAGGTAAAGAGTTAAAATGACTTCGGTTTAAGTGCAGACTTCCAGTGAAATATGGGCAGAAAAGACTGAATGATCCTACTGCTCGCCCACCTGCTCCATATCTCCCAGCGTGATGGGTTGCGTCTGGTAGCGGGCGTTGGCCCTGCGCTGCCGCGTGTCCCCTCTGGTGCGGGTGACCCTGATGGGAGGCTGAGCCAGCCGGTTAAACAGCGCCATCTTTTCCGCCAGGGTGAGAGTGCTGAGGTCGGGCTCGTCCTGGCCCTGACCCTCCACTGTGGACACCGGCTTAGAGAACTGGACCTCCTGCATCTGACTGGCCTCCCGGGCGGCGTCCGCGCTCTGCTGCGATGACGCCTGCAGGCTGAGGGCAGGGTGACACCAGAGAGACAAAGAGGAAGTAGAAAGGGGACACTTCTGGTGAGCATGGAAAGAGCTCATGCAAGCTAGCTGGTGGCATGCTACATGGCAGGCAGCCGTGTACATCCGATGACAATGACCATCACAAACGACTATTAAAATAAAATCTAGTCTTTTTAGTATTAGTATATTATAATAAGGAAACCATGTAGTTTCCTCTCATCACACAAGAGGGCATCAAAGCTCAAAAAAAACATTCCTTGTCAGAACACATCATTCCCATTCTGTGGGGTGAATACCACTCTGAAAAAGAACACTTGGCGTATAAGCAGCGCTCAGTCATCATGTTAGTTGCACACTGTGGGTTGGCGTGGGCGTTCACATCCGTGCCATGTACCTGTACGGCGGCAAGGTGCTGCAAACTAGGGTGGGGCTAGGGACGTGTGCTACAGCATTGTGAACGGTCACTGTGTGTGGCACGTGAGTGGGGACGCTAAGTGGACAAAGAAAGAAGGAAAGAAAGAGAGAGAGAGCGAGAGCAAGGTGACAGAGAAAACACAAATGAAACAGGAGAGGAACCAGATCACGAGTTTCAAAAATAATTTTGAATCGCGCCTAGATCAAAAAATGTTGCTGCATTGGAGAGCTTGAAGAAGTAGGTTCACACAAATTACAGAAAAAAAACATACCGTCTCACTTACCCCAGCTAAAGTCTTGCCGTGCGGATGGTTTCATAGAGATATCAGAGTCTGGATGGAATTGTGTTGACTCACTGCACTGGAATATTACATTACACAATTCTACCCAGAATCAGTGACCCTCGTAGAGCCATTGTTGACCAGTTTCATAGGGACTTTGAGTACTGTGTTAAGTTACAAAATTTGCAGGTGTGAGGTCTGCTGATAATCCAGAGAAATGTGAGCATTATTAAATGTTCTCTATTCGATATTCAGAGCATTAATATAGCAGCAAACAACTATTTTGCTGTGCAATGACAGCGGAGTAATGTCTACATGTGCAGAGAACGAGGTCTTTGTGCTTGTTGTAATCCGCGCATGTTAGCGTGCCCCACTAGCTAGCTTAAGGCCACCGTTCTGCAGTACGCTCAATCAAGCGTAGCAACCACCCTCTGGTTCACCCCTCATTAAAACACTGTTAGCACCGTTAGCTGCAAGCCGCCGGCTTGTTGAGAGCCGTATGGAGGCAATAGAAATGCTCTGAATTACGGATAGAGAGCCTTTAAATGAAAGAGTTGTTGCTCTTGAATTTTTCTATATTTTGCAGTTATTTATTATTGTTCTGAGTACCCAAACAAAATCCTGTTCATCTCTCCCGTTTTTGGGGTGGAGGCAGAAATATCAAATCTCTAAAATATGGCAAGTTTTTAAATGGACCCTTTAAACTATTACCAAGATGTGCTTCATTCAAAGGAATAGTTTGCCATTCCCTTCATTCCAAACATGTCAAACTATTCCTTCTCAAGTAACTCATTAAGACTCACGTGGCGGCTATGACTACTTCCTCAGTGGTGATTGGCTGAGTTCTGGACCGGTCTTGTGTCCGCCTTAGTCTCCTGTCCACCGCTGCGTTCCTGGACCGCTGTTTGGAAGCTCCGCCATCAATGCTCTTCTCCAACTCCTGAATGGAAACGTTGGGAGTAAATGCTAAATCAATGGAATATTTTACCAAACTTAAACTCTAGTAGGATGATCTCGGAGAAGTATTTGCTGCGAAAGCGACAGTGGGTTTGATGACTGAAGGATATCAAATAAGCCGTCATTAAAGACAGATTGAGTACATTAAGAGTACATTGTTCTCGGTGGAACGCCTGTGCTGAAACCAAATCTTATTTCCAGGTGTTCTTCTCTAAATCCCCACAGTAAAGGGAGGATGGAAGATAAAAAATAAAAAAAAAGTCAATGTTTGTGTCGAAGACTGGAAACTAATTTCTCCGTGCATGGCGTCTGGAACCAGCATGTAATTTGCAGAACTGAGAGGACAAACAGGCGATAGTTGAAGCTCACCCTGAAGAGAGAGCGCTTGGCCGCTACGCTCAGCTTGGCCCGCTCATCTAGCTTCTCTTCATCAGCTACGGAGAGAGAGAGAGAACATAAAAACATTAGAAACTTTGGTTATACTACAGTATGTAGCGAACAGTAGAACACTGACAAACCTTCTCCAGGGTATTCATTTTAAAATGAGTCGGTTTGTAACATTATAAAGACGGCAGAGACTGTATTTTTAACTAATTCTCAGAGCTAACGTTAGCTTGATAAGCTACCTAGCAGCTAGGAATGAAACACCTGCTTTAGTGTACGTCTGACCGAAAACAAGGAGCCATTTTATTAAACATGACTTAGAATTGTAAGTGGTAAATCTACCACGAGTGACGAAAGCAACAAAATGGCCCTGTAGAGGGCCGTCAGTCTTTAGCTTCATGTCTCAGACTTCCGTTGAAAGGGACCAATAGAATGTCGCTGTGTCGCTCTTAGTGTGAACATAGCTTTAGAATCTGAAAATATGTCAAATATGCATCTAATATCTTTCTAATATATTTTTCTTGCGTTGTTCGTGCACATAATTAAGACTATAGAAGTGTAAAAATAGGCTACGTCAAATTATTCCAAGGGATATAAATGGGGGAGGGGGGTCTTGTTATATTCTCCATCTTTAAGTGCTCCTTGGCTGAAAAACAATTGAGATTGGTGTAGAAGATATGAATATTTAAACTTCATATTTGAGTTTTAACAGCATCCTCTTTTGAGGCAACGTTTTACAATCTTTTTACAACCAGCGAATTCACCGTTGAGGTGCAAAACTCCTTTTCTAAGCAACACATTTGTAAGTGTAATGTGTTATAATTAGTGCTGGACAACAATTAAAAATTTTAATCCTGATTAATCGCATGATTTTTTTGCGATTAATCACATTGTTATGCACAAAATTCAATAATGAATTCAAAATTAGTGTATTGCGCACTTTTATCTTGAAAGTACTGCTATATGAACAAAAGTGCAATAACATTTGATTTGTAAACACTTTAAACACATCAGGTTCTTGTTAACAGCAGTATTCCCTTTACACAGCAGCAGTTACAACACAGTTATAGTGATTCTGATAATAGATATTCAGCCGGTGTTCATAACTTTATCTTCATGTGTGTAAAAGATGCAATTTAAATATACACCTTGAAAACTGCAAACATATCTACGTCATGTTTTTTTCTCTTTTTTTAATGTTTATTAAATCCTCAGTAGTGATAACTAAATGATGCGTATTAAACATATTACAAACAAAACAACTTTAAAAACTTAAAATAATAATTTAATGAATCAATTCTTTTTTTTGGTATTTTGGTCAGACACATATGCAACGCTGATTACCATAATATGTGTGGTATTTATCACCCTCTATGTACCAACATAGAGGGTGATAAGAAGCTGTACATGGAGGGACTTAGGACCCAAGGGAATGTAGGTGAAGGAAACAGGAAAATAATTGTCGGCGTTAATTAACGCGTTAACTTGCCCAGCACTAGTCATAATGTTCACCTTCATCGCTACTCAGCAACATCTGGCTTTATAGCTGGGAGCAAAGATAAACCTGTGACTGGTGCGATTGAGGAGACTTTGCAGAGCTGGACAGGTGTGAGAAGCAAGGACACCTCTGCTCCCTCTGATTCTCCACGGAGCAAAAAGCGTCCCAGCTGAGTGTCTGCTTATAGGAAGCAGATGAGCTGGTTTCTGCTGAGCTGTTCTGCTACTGTGAGCACCAGTAACGACTCAAAAACCCTACTTCTAGATGTTGGGCTTGTTAAAAAAAAGAAATCAAGAGATTTAAGTCATTTGGCCTCCACCCTCGTGTCTATTCTTGAAGCTTTGACATAAAGCCTTTGGAAAATTACATTTTATTCATTCGTGTCCACCGGCATTGACTGTGAAGCCCCAGATAATCATGTAGTTTCATTGGCACCTGCATACGTGGACTAGATATTGTTATGACAGATAACAGTGCCCGTCCCACACAGAAACCACTGCAAGTATGACTCAGAGCCGATTAGAACTGAAACGGAAAGCAACTCAACTGAAACTTGATTAGATACTTTTTTGCATCACCATGATCTCATCAACTGAGCCCATCCAAAGACAAAAGACCGATGGAATTCAATTTACTCAGAGAACTGTGGAGGTAGTTTTTGTTGGCATTCTAACCCTCTGAAGAACCCTAAATACAGTGTAAATGTTTGCTTTTGGTAGCATCACCTCAAAAGTCTAAATTAAACAATGACACTAAAAAAACATTTGATTCATAAAAACACAAACAAAATGGCATCGCTTCTACTACATTATGCAACTGTTACTCCTGCCAAGTAATCTAATTGGTCAAACACATACAGCCATGATGGTAATTCCACTAAAGCTAGCCACGCTTAACCAATTACCTCACCAACACTTGTGCACAGAGGCTACAGTAGCTCATGGGTTTTACCTTACGCATCTTAAAAAATAAGTTGGGAGCGATAAAACCTCTAAAACCACGTTCATCACAAACGTGCATGCATGCATTCTGATGTGTAAATGTGTATGTATTATATTTCCACTTACTGCTACAGATGTGTTCGGAAAATCACATCCTATTCTAAAAACAGTCAAATCTTTGCTAAGACAAGTTATGGGGGGGGGTGTAACGTCTTACCTTCAGTGGGAGCAAAATCTGAACTGGCACAGGACCTTCGAAAAAAAGTGCACAAAGAAAAAGACAATCAGCAAAAAGTAGTCGTTTCCATGAAACGCATAAGTCGGTAATATGAACGGGTAGAAACAGGAGAGAGAAAGAGTGTCGGTCCTGGTTGCTGCTGGAAATAGGACAGCGAGTGTTGGGAGAAGAAATTTAAAAAGGGGAACAAGTAAAGCAGACTGAGAATGGGAAAATTAGACGGCATTACTGAAGTCTGCTTGGTTCCATGGTCTCAGGGAGTGATTACCAACAAAAGGCCAATTCATGCTTCCTTGGTACAGTCACATGTAACGACCACTGCCAAGGTCCAATCAGAGGGACCTTTGGCCTTTAAGCTTCCCCGCTTGCTAATGTTGTTAGAGGGGTAGAATCAAAGAGAACGTGTGTACATGTTGATCCAGCTCATGGTATTAATCTGATTATTGGCTTACTACATACTATAGAATTACTTATTGTACACACATATTGTATACAGCATGCACTTGATGATTAGTATAGTGCACCAAAACCTGATAGGAATCAACATGTCTGTGCATTAAATATTATAAAAATCTGCATGATGTTCCGATTCCTTTGACATGCATGATGATAGGGATATTTCCCAGCATTCACTCTCAGCCATGCAGCAGTCCAGAGCAGTACCTATCGGTCTCCTGGCGCTCTGCAGAAGTGATGGGCTGCGTCCTAAACCTCTCTGAGGTCTTTCTACTCTCCCCGGGATAGATATACTGCCGGGGCCTGCGCCCCCTGTCCCTCTCCCCTCTCCACGGGGCCCCGTAGCCTGCGAGAGCCCCGTCCCCCGCAACCTCGCTGTAGGAGCCACCCGAGGACAAGGACCAATAGATAACAGTACCAAAAGGAAAGAGAAAAATACAGCATGGTGAGGGAGAGATAGAGAGGGACTGGTAGCTTTTCAAAAGCAGAGGTGTAGGTTAGAATATTCAGCCACACCCCTGGTTATTAAATATGGGATGCAAGACCATGCAGATGGTTAATGCATGCACACGTTTATTGGCCCCGGTCAGTAACCAAACAAGTCAAACAGCCAATAAGAACACAAAAGAAAACATTCATCATAGGAAGCTTAGTGTTAGGTGATTAATGCATGAATGCCATTTCTACAGATTAGAACTCTATGTTTTGATGTTGACTTCACACCAGCCTTAGTTGCCTGTTAGTCATTCAGCAGCCGGGTGAGGTTGGTTAACAAGCATCAGTGTGAGTTCTACAGAAGCCGGCCGGTGAGTAGCGGCGGTGCGGCGTTTTAATTTGCCACCTACAGCTCGTTCCTGCGGCCGGTCGGAGGGGTGGTGGTGCTCTCCATGTAGGAGTGCCTGAGCTGGGCCACAGACACCCGACTGTCCTGGTGACTCTCCTGGTTACCGACACCGTCACCCTCCCTGACCTCTCGGGGGTCGCCGGCGTGCTGCTGCGGGTTCCACTGACTGAACCCTCGTGGATCCCCAGCATCTGACACAGAACGGCTCGTGGCTGCGCCTTCATGCGCGTCTCTGGGCTGGATGTGGGTGGCGGCCAACCCTTTGTGGATATAGATGGCATTCTCCCGCTCTCTGGCCCTGCTCTCTGACGCTTGCAGACCTCGGGAAGTACGCTCCGTTTCGTCCCACCTGGCTCTGCTTCTGTGTCTTCCTCTTACTGGTTCCTCCACCTCTGCCTCCCTTGCCAGACTCGGCGCCCTCGTCATCCCTTGCTCCTCTTCCCCCCTTCCTCTCCATGGGTCCTCAGTGCTCCTCTCCCTGCGACGGATCTCTGAGGGCAGCACTGCTTTCCTGCTCCTCAGGAGGCCCTCTGTCTTGACGTCGTCCGACTCCTCAGTATCATCTTCCAGTGGATCTTCCTGCTCAGAACCGGACGTGGGACAGGAAGCCATGGACAGGTAACTGGGGTAACCGCCAACTTCTTGACTTCCCGGTGGCCCAGGTCGGTTGAGCTGAGCCTGGGGGTGATGCTGGGGATGGGGGTCAACGTGATGGTGCCCTGGTGGATCTGCGTGGTGGTGTGTAGAGGTTTGGGTCTGGGGTCTGCGGTACACTGGCGCTTCTGTAACTTTTCCCAGCTCTGGGCTCCTCTGGCGGCCCTCCTCCCTGGCAAGTCTCTCCCTAACTCGGATTCTTCAGGGAAACAAAGGGCCGGTTAACATTTGTACTACATGTTTAGACACAGAGTATGCCTCCTAAAGTCATGAAGAGGACTTGGTCTGATAGAAGGAGCAAACACAGAACTCCTCCTCTAATGTTTATAATTCTTTGTGTTTACACCTGACAGCATGAAGGCAGGAGTTGGCTCTTTCTCTGGTTTAGTGTTAGGGCTGGGTAACTAACCACAACGTGTCCTTAGAATCAGTTCCCAAAAATATACATTCGAAGCTTGGTCAGATTTGTTTTGTTTGCTCAAATAAATCTTAATCCAAAAATTCAAAAGTTCAAACTATTTTGAGCGCTTTAAATGCTGATGCACTGAGAAGTTGTGTTTTGGTAAATTTACAGAAATTGTTCCTATTCCTAAAAAGTAAGGTATTGATTGTTTCTATTGTTGATAAACAATTTTAATCTAGATTTTGACTCAACACAGGGTAAATGTCATAAACTCTTGTTATTCTTTGTATTACTTCTATTTGAGATAATTATGTTCTTAGTTTTGGGACAACAGTTCCCACTGGGGATGCTGAAATAGCTATTAGAAATTCCTATTTGTACATCCACGGGTACAGCACAGACAACTACTGGATTGGATGGGGAGGAAAACTTCCAAATGTGACAGTGTGGGAACATGCAAGATTTTAAGTTATGATTTCTAGGCGACAATAAATGTTACAGCTCTAATGTCACTTAATCTGTGGCTCAGATGTTAGAGCAGGTCGTCTGAACCCCAAGTTGTAGTAGATGAATTTGTGAATGTATATATGCATGTATGTGATGATAAAATAAATTTGTGGTTGAGTTTTTTTAAGTTCATTCTAGCATCTGTACTGCTCAGAATTTTTAAATGATACCCAGCCCTATTTGGCACAGCACCTACCTCACCTGATTCTTGATAAGAGAAGAGAACAGAGATGCTAGCTGTAAACACAGCCCCCAAACAGATAGTCACTGATGAGCGGTCAGTAATACTCCAGGAAAAATAACAATACAGCAACATCACTACCCAACGTTGTATCCTTCATTAATATGTTGAATATACATTTGTTTTCACTTGGGGATTAAACTGAACACAGCAACATGTGCACGGGAGATGAAGTTATGTTCCGAAGCAGAGGGATCAGGAGTTTGTGGCAATGGGGATGATGATGACAGAGCTCAAAGCAGAGGTTCTTAAACATTAATGTCTTCTGATCGGCCCAGGACCCACACTGAGTCAATGAGATTTAACCCTCCGAGAAGAGAAAACAAAGGGTATAGTCTTGTAAGAAACAGCTCTGGGTTCTGTCCTGACCCACGGTTTAAGAACCACTGCTCGTACAACAAGGTTTGATGGGTTTTGGTAAGTCCAGCAGAATGGGAACACGGCAACATGGCAGGTGATATTGGGGTGAGACACGACCGGCCTGGGAATACCTCGAGGGCCAGTTGATGAGGGAATGGGTGTCGCCCTCAGCATCAGTCTGGAGGAACCAATCAGTGCTCAGTTTCGCCCTCGCACTGTTCCAAATGGAAACCCGGTGGGAGACAAGTGAATGAGTGGGTGGGTAAAAGTCTCGGTTCAGTATTCAGCCTTTTGTTTCTTGCAGCGTGCACATACACAGACACGCCACCACATCACACACACCACTGATTTCCCGTTGAGCGTAACCAGAGTGAGAATGGGTTTGGAACCAGCAGGATCCTGCTAAGAATACAAGTCCAACTCCCCAGTGAGACGTTTCATTGGTATTGTGGTTTTGGGTAAGGCATCACACGCCATATAATATGACCAATAAATCTCTTATTTAATGTTTGTCAAATGACCAGGAAAGAGAAACACACTTTGCTTATTAGATCAGATTTGGCCACAGACTGCATTTATGTTGTGTGGAAAAATCCATTTTATCAAAGCATCACTGTATCAGGAGAGGAGGACTGTGTAATTGAAGCAGCTATTCAGAGGAAAATAAACTAAACGTTTCCTTTTAATACTACTAGGACCGGAATTTAAGTTGAAAAACGGAAGAATCAGAACAAGACAAAAAGTTATGTCTGATGGGAGTGTAATTAAATAGAGTAGAAAAATGCCTATTGCAGAGGCCTTCGAGGGTCCGCTTGGTTCTGAGGAACTGAGACCTGAACCCGAGTTGGTAATCTTACAAATTATACCCAGTCTAATCAGGTCAGGTAGAGTCGCGTTTTACTTACTAATACTGCCACGGGTCTGTGTGGCAATATGTCTCAGAGCGTACCGAGTACCAGCTCTGCTCACGTGGTACACCATAATTGCTGCAGGACAGGGTGTCCTGGTAGCCAAATGGTTGAGAAGCATACCAAATACTGGGACCTCAATGTCCTGGATTTAATGCTACATTTATAGGCTTTTCAGACACCGATTGGTTTGTGGATGGGCTGTCCCGTAAGTGTCCTGGTGGAGCTCTGTTTTTTTTTGGTAAAAACATCTTGGTTCAGGGACAATTACCATAAAGATTAAATGGCCCCAAATGGTTTTTGCTGGAGGATCTGTAACTACACAGAAACTGTACAGACACCGCCAGGAGAAATGGGCAACATTGATGATTGGCAGGATCTTAAAACACCAGTTTAACTGTGCCCAGTAAAACAGACAGACAGTCTCCAAGGGGGAGAATGAACTAAAGGTCATTACATGGTTAAAAAAAAGGATGACCTTTGTTCATAACATTTTACTACCAAGTCCTAAAATGTAACTATTCATTTTGACCCACAGATTCCCTGGGAAAAGGTAGAGGAGACGCTCTCCTATGTGCTTCTGTCCCGTCAGGCCTCCCATGTCTTGATCAAGCCCAGCTGTGGGTCACAGGTCTGACCGTGGAGTCACACTGTGTCGCCCAGTAACTCAACACCCTCCCTGCATCGCCGACACACACACACACACACACACACACACACACACACACACACACACA